CCTCGAACTTTGAGCATTTTAGATAGAGCTTGCGCATGTATAGCTTGTTTGTGGACGCCTCCGTGGGTTGCAGCTAGCCCACTAATGGTGCGATATATCAGCGCAATAGCTGCCAAAGTGGTGATATCGAAGCGAGTTTTTGGATTGTCGATTGCACTCTGCAGACTCTGAAGTGCCTTTCCGTATTGTTTCAAGTCGAACCATGCCAATGGATCCTCTCCACGAGCGATGGAGTCATTGGACGATAACATGAGCAACGTAACATCATCTAGTGCGGGACTAGCGCCAAATCTTTGGAGTAGCTCTCGGTGCCAGATTCCATGGCAATGAAGACGAGCGCCGGGGCTAGATACATCTATACTTAGGAGGTTATAGAACCTCCAAGCTACCTCATCACCGGCTGTTAGGCTAGGACTTTGGGATGGATGCGGCCCTCGATTTAGTATGCGGCGAGTTGATGAGCTGTCGGTTCCAAAATCGATAAGACGTATCTTTTGGAATGTTCCTCCGACTTTCTTAGTAGTTTTTAGTGGCACCATACGCAAGTGTTTAGTAGATTTCGATTTTACGTTGGCATCAATCTCGACAAGTCGAGGGGGATGCTGCGATTGCGTCTCATCCTTGCGTCTAATCGGAAGTTCTTGTCCAGATGTATTGTATTCGACGAATCTGGTCGGATTAATTGGCGGCCCTGGGCACGTACGACTGCCCTTTCGACATGGTCCACAGGTTGGCCATGCTTCATCGCACTACGTGTAGCAATATAACTTAGAGGACACCCTTCATTCGATTTCGGGGTAACCCACCTTCACCTTTCGTGCCTTGCAGGCTCCACAACGATTGGTCGAGGGCGCTCCAACCATAAAGAAATACTGAGAAGAGATATGGAGTATTAATCCTGGATGTGGAGTGTATTGAGAGAGGTGTGGGTAGAACGATTAAAATGCGAAGCAGCGATCAAATGAGTTCGCGCTTGGTCTTTCCATTCTCTTCATGGCCTGTCTAGTCAGCTTAGCACCGTTGAAGGATCAAGTGGCTTTGAATCTTGGAAACGATGTAGTGGGGTGGCGTCTGAGGTTGGCCCCTTGCCGCCGGAGCGAGATGTAGACTAGTACAGAAGAGTGCTAGCCCAAGGCCGATTTCATCATCACTACTGCACTCATTTCCTAACGCTTACTCAACTAAGCATGCAAGATGCTAGAAGTGAGAACCAGAAACCTTTAATGCGTTGTCAATTTCTTCGCAGGTTCCATCAATCTTCTTATCAAGTCTAAAAAGCTTAAATACACCCTTTCTGCGCAACCACATCTTATTTCCCCATCTTCCCTCCATATAACGTTAACAGTAAACGTAGTAGATATGGTTTCATATCAATTACTTAGACTTGAGTGCTACTGCAAGGTAGATGTGAAATTAGATTTTACATATCTGTTTTCGTCGTTGTTTGTTCAGGGTATGCGGTCTGAATTTCCGTCATTGATTTAGTTCTAGATACCAGTAAGTGTCTTGCTTTCAACCGTCATATTTTCATAGCGTCCAATTGAAGGACAATGCAAGGCCGCTATTGTAGTCGCTATGCAGCTGAGTGTTTCACTAGATCTCCATCTCGCTTATCGCCCCCATCCCATGGCCCGAAGGATTCAGAGCCGCACGGCTGAAAGCACCACAGGTGGTCAGTCCAATCAGACGTGACCGATTTACAGAATAGGCTATCGACTTTCTGCACGTTTGATCGAATCGGGATTTGGGAGCAAATACAGCAGCAGGGAGAGAGAGGCTAATAAGATTCACAATGCCGCCATATGGGTCCTCTGGATATGTGCTCCAAAGCTCCATTTTCCCTTGGGAATTAAGTCGAGTAAATTTTTTTTTTTTCTTTTCATGTGGGGGCGTAGGATTGCGGTTTCGGACCTAGACATGAGGTCGTGCGACAGTCTTTGAAATGAGATCGTTAGGGATAGAAATCGCTCCTATTCTGTGCGACACTCTTGCCATATTGTTCGGCACGATATGCCTTCGAACCCACCAAAGTGTTTGCTTGCTGGGTTATGACTAGGATTCTGCTGTAGAAATGTAATGATATCAAAAGGCCACAGTAAGACATCCCAAGGGCTGTGTGAGCTCCTCAGGACCGGAGTATGGGGAAGCCATTATCCTACCCAAGCTGGTAGTGAATCTTAAGCTTATTCACGCTAGCTTCGCATCATCTAATCCATCCACCGCGTAAACAAAGGTCTTCTCTAGGATCGAATATTATCAAACATCGACATTCGACTTGTATACACACCCAGATACTGTTTCAAAGGCCCTCACTACCATTTCAATAGCCAGCGTTCCATTTCATTCATACTGGTCCCCTTTCACTGCATGTCTCAGTCAATTTTCTCCACAAATTTCCCCAAACCAACCCGTTACTCTTTGGCTAGGTGAAGTTGTCAACTAAACAGAACGCCGACGACCTACATGTCCTACGTTCCTCGCAACGTTTACTTCAATATATACAACGCCACCCAGACATCACCGCAACAAGATTCCCTTAGCAAAACCCCAGCACTGATCCTCTTTTCTAGTACACCCCCCCTCCATGAACGGGCTGGATAGCGCGCTCCACTGGCAGGGGCAATTTTTCATACAAAAGATCTCTGAACAATCAGTGCGTGGCACACGCTATCCAGCCCGTTCATGGAGGGGGGGTGTACCATCATTACCCCCCACCCACAACCATGCACCTCGAGCCCGGCACGAAGGCACGTCCAGGCAATATGCCCGCGCGTGTGTACATATCAGCCCCAGCAGCCTGCGGCTCGGCAGTCTTCGGACACGCGAGGCGGCGGGGAAGGAAAGGGCGGTGGAGGACGGGGCATGGGAATTGGGATGGATAGATGGGGCCGAAGGCGGGGGCATGCGTGGGTTGGGAGTTCGAGCATGTGTTGCACAGACACGGATTGAACGGAGGAGCGATGCATGTTATTTGCCGCTATTTGGGTCTCGTCTCTAGCTTCGTGGCTTGGGTCTATCTCGCAGCTGACTCCATCTCCGTGCCCGTCCTCCATATACACACACGCTCTCGTTGCACTCTCTTACCTGGGAAACTGCCCATCTCCCCGTGGAAGTGAGAGGATTAGCCTGGCGCTTGCAAATACAGTCCCTCAGCTTCTCTCTCAGCTCGGCCTCTCTTGCCAAAGCATTGCTTCATTTGGAGCCTAGATGTGGTTGCCTAGAGCTCTCTCTTTCATCAACGAAGCTGACAGGATAAGTCATAGAGGAGCTGAACTCGGTCGTGATCAAACCTTCATGCCAACGATAGTCTCCACAGAATACAAAGTCTAGGCAGCAGCGAGCAGGCGGTGACGAGTCACACTTCTACGCGAAGCCGTGCAGCGGGACGTAAAGCAGGGCACGCGTGGGGAATAGATGGTCGTCAGACGGAGTTTGAAATTTGGCGGTGAGCTCGAATCATTCATGCCCGTTGAGTGATAAGCTGTACCGCGACTTGCTACTTTTGCTAGGGTAGGTATACTTGGGTCTACTCTCACGCATGTGATAGATCATCGGAGGACTGGACCAGTCCTTCCAACATCTCGCTAAATTCGTATAAGCGGATGCGAAGGACCTCCAAGCGCGGGATGGGATTTTGACCGTGGTTGGTGAGGCTGGAGGACAAATGGGCAGGGATAGGTGTTGTTGCCCCTTTTGCGAAAATGAATATACAAGGAAGAGGAAAATAAGACCAGTCCTTGCAAGTATCGAAGGACGCGATGGTGCGATTGAGCTGAGGAAATGTGGTTGCCTATTTGTGAGTGTGTCGATGAAAGTTGAATTCGGGTTGCGTGAGAGGTCGACGTGCACGCAGGACTAGAGCCTCATATTGTATCCCTGGTCGTTGCCTCATAAATGTTAAAACCTATGACGCACGAGGCTCCGCGTTCCTGACTTCTGGTCCTCTGGTGGAATCATTTTTGCAAGGACAAGCTTTCATAGACGTGGTTCGCTACATTTGCATGGCATCCTTGAACAGATGAGTCAAATGGGATGACTCGGTGGATATTATGATGGCACTTGGATCATCCTGAGCAAACATTTCTCGCCTCGCATTTTCATGGATGGCAGTCGGGGAGGACAGACCATGTGGCAGCTGATGCATTCGCAAACCTCAAACGTTTGGTTTTGAGGATCTGTCTTATTTGAGTCAGAGCTAGAGGGGCAAATCCGGGGGGCTCGCTTGATTCGCCTTCGTTTCGTCGCGATCGGTCGAATGGAGTCGTGATAAAGCCGTCGTTGCGCGTCACATGTTTCGTTTGTTCGTGGTCGAGGCAATGGGAATGCGAGGCGTGACGCGGCGACTGTTGCCTCTCGGAGAGACCGGAGCTTGACGGTGGCTTGACGGTGATTTGAGAACAGACATGTTGCGAATTATGGAAAGTGACCATTCGGCGATTGGCGTCGGGATCGGAAGCAGCGATTGGTCCGCGGTGCTGAGGCGGTGCTCGCCACAGCAAGCTTCGCGGCGTCTAACTCTAGACGGGAAGTTGTATAGCCGTCATGTGATCGGAACGAGTGCGGCCGCGTGATGCACCGCCACAGCCGGATCAACGTGCAGCCCGTCTCGCGGATGATGTGACTGGGCGCTGAGCAATATTTTGGGATTCACAGTGCGATGCATGACGCAGCTAGACAGGTGCATATTCAGCCAACGCTGCACTCGCAGACGCGCTGCGCAAACGTGGCCACGACTGCAGCTTCCCGGTGATTCCGCAGAGCTGCACTCGGCTGGCTCCTAGGGCTGTCGATTCTGCGCGCGTCGCAGGTGGCCTGTACATGGCATGGCATGGCATGGCATGGCATGACAGCCGTTATCAGTCGTGAGTGCAGAGCCCAATGGCGGTGGAGACGGAGAGTGGAGCGGACAGAACGCTGAGGAGTCAGGAAACGCAGGATGAGTTGTCGTGATAAGGGAGGGAATTTTGGAATCAGAAAAGGTGTTGTGTGCTTCGGCTGGGGAGCAGAGCCGTGGCGCGGGCAGGGATGAAATGCGAGTCAGGCCAATAGGGGCGCCGGGCGGCCGGGACCAAAATTCGAAATGATTGTGGGCCAAGAGTTCGAGAGATTGCAGGGCGTGCTGGACGGCAGAACAGAGGCCAGCGAGCGTCCGGGCGAGCAGGCCTCATGCAGAAGACGGGTGGTGGCGTTCCGCGCAGCCAGTCATGGACGGGGCCCGTCGCCGTGCGGTTGAGGATTGCTGCTTGCGGGCAGGGCAGCAGCTGTGCGCGGGAAGATCCACCATGCCACGGTGAGGTCTGGTGCGTTGTTCGCCCGCTGCCGTCGAATCAGGGCGGCCATGGCTGCGCGCCGGCTGCAGCAGTGGGCCGTCGTCATGCATTCACACGGCGCCGGCAGCGCGCGCTCGCAAGACATGGGCGGCGGGAGCGCAGTGTGCAGAGTTGCGGTAAGGAAACGGACAGCATTGAGCCAGGCAGGTCGACGGCGCGCCTGCTCTCGAGATTGTGAGACACTTGAAAATTTTCGCGCGGAAATTGCTGGGACCTGGTGGGCAGCCATTGAGCCGCCTGGCAAACGAGCCGTGAGCCTCCTCGTCCGCCGGCTCGCACGAGGCTCCGAGCGGGCAGCAGCCCAGAGTGCGGCTCAGCCAACGGTGGGCAGGGCATCCCAGCGCGGCCGGGGCTGCTGCCAGTCGGGCGCCGTTGCGTCGTCGAGTGGACGGAGCCAGCCCGCGACGCTTTCCAGCGTTTCGGATGGCGCAGCTCTCCAGCGCCGTCTCCCGCGACGACGGCCTCGCGCAGACGGCGTGCTAGCCTCAGGAGACGGGGCGGGTGCGAGGGCGTGTGCCGCAGACGCGACAGTCCAATCCCCTCGGCGGCCGAGTTGGGTTGTGGCCGTGGCCATGGCCGGCGCCGCATCGACTGCGCGCGCGAGCCAGCGGGCGTCCTGGCCGCGGGCACAGGCAGGTGGGCCGTCGTCTGGTGCACCAGCATGGGATGGGCCAGGCCTGCCGCCTGCGTGCAGCTTGCGAGACGTTGACGTCGCGGAGGTGCTGCGTTGGGGTGCGAAGGGTGCGAAGAGGCAGAGGCCATGGAGCGCGGCCGGCAGCGAGACACGCTGGCCAGCCCACTTGGTCCCTCGTCCCAAGTACTGACTGGCCGAGGGAGCAGACGCGCACGAGTCGACGCAAGCTGAGCAGCGGGCGCGTTGCCCAAGTGTGGCACAGCAAAGGGGGTTGCGGGAGCACGGCGGGCTGCTCTGCTTACCCAGTTATGTCCCCACTGGCGAGCCGTCGCGCGGGAGCTCTCACCTTCCACATGGGCGCGCTGCTGGCGAGGACGGAGGGCGGACCAGGATCGTGGGTATATCGGTCCTGTGTATAATTACTGTGTACTATCGTAAAAGAGTCACCACATAGGGCGCTGCCGTGCAGACGTGCCATGACACAACAGAGGGCCAGTTCGCGCAGTGTGTCGTCGGGCAGCCATGCTAGAGGCCAGCGCTTCCGCACCGCTGGACTGCGTGTGTGTGTGTGATGGAAGAATAGAACAGCTGCACGGCAGAGTCAGCGCTGCGTCGCGGGCGGCTGTGGGCTTCCAAGAATATGACCAGCATGCCAGGCGCGGGCAATATCGAGCGAGTGACTCTTAGGCTGACCCGTAGATTAGGAATGCGATCGGGGGTCAGGGGCCCAAGTCGGTGAAAGGGCTCCAGGGTGGGTGGCCAGGACGGCCCAGGGTGTGGCTGCCCATGGACGGCAGAAAGCGATGCACAGACAGGCCTGCCGGGCCCACGCCCTCTTCATAAGCGGCGCCGCCCTCCATCGCTCGCCCGCCTGCTTTCGCACTGAGCGGTCCAACCTCGAACCAAACATCACCATTACCCAAGCAGCAGACGTCCCCGTCTCCCCAAGCCCCTCCGGATTCCGCCCTGGATCCTTCTAGCACCCTCTAGCAACGCCGCCGCCGAACACCAAATGTGCAGCACCCAGAACCGGATCTCTTTTCTTCTCGTCGCTGCACCCTCCTCCGCACACATACCCACCCCCACCGCCGCCGATTGCGATCGAAGAAACACCTCCAACGGTTTGCAGACGCCACGGTAGACAGGCACCGGGCCTGACCTCCCTCCTCTCTGTCCGCTCCCGACTCCAGCGCCCGCACCACCCCCCCAAAACCCGCCCTCCGGCCCGCGACCGGTGTCGCCCTCGCGCCTCATCATGAACTACACTCCCCACTATCCCACCCCCCCTCCGGGCTACATGCCCTACGACTACGTGCGCGGCACCCCCCCCGTGTCGCCCGCGCCCGGCGTCCACGGCTACTACTCGCCTCGGTACGGTCCCCAGACGACGACGCCGTCCCCGCGCGACTCCCCCAAGGTGCGCGGCCACACTCGACGCGCCTCGCAGGCCGCTCCTCCCCCGACGTACTCGTCCTATGCGTCGCCGCGCGGAGGTGCCATACCCCAATACATGCCAGACTTCACGTCCCCGCGACACCATGCGCAGCGCACGCCCGAATTTGTAAGTGGTTTTGATTACAGTCGCGCCGGCCGGCCTCGTCGCGAGTCCGATGCCACGCCTCTCAAGCGCTCCCATCGCGAGAGGAAGCATCGGCCGTCGCAGTCGTCTCGATTCGTGAACGCAAAGGTCGTCTACGGCGACTACGACTATGTCTACGATCATCCGCCGCCGCCTTACGAGCAGTACGTGCGATACGAAACGTACGGGAATGCTGATCGCTATTACTATGATCAGGTTCCAATCTACGAGACCCAAGAGCCAAAGTCTAGCAGCCGACCAAGACGCGCCTCTCACACCAGCCGCCCTCAGCCGCCACCTACACCAAAGCGCCCGACCACGGCCAAGACCACAACCAAGGCGACCGAAGAGGATGCGCGCAAGGCAGGTATTCCCGCTGGCTACTCGTACAAGAACTGGGACCCGACCGAGGAACCCATCATGCTGTTGGGCAGTGTCTTCGATGCCAACTCACTCGGCAAGTGGATCTACGACTGGACCGTCTTCCACAACGGCCCCGCCACCCCTCTCGCCGAGATGGCGGGCGAGCTCTGGCTCCTCCTCATCCAGCTCGCCGGCAAGGTCAAGCGCGCCGAAGAGACCATGCTCAAGATCCGCAAGCAAGAGAGCCGTGAAATGGTCGAAGACTTCCTCGAGAGTGGCGAACGCCTGTGGATCCGCTTCGCCAAGCTGCTCAAGGTCTGCGAAGACTACATGTGGAAGGCCGCCAAGAAGGAGACTGGCGACAAGAAGCCTCTTGCAATGGGCAAGAACAGCGGCTGTGAGTTTGTCGACTCCATCTTCGGACGGGATCGCGAGCTGGAAAAGACGGAGAAGCTTATGACTGGTATGCGTCTATGGAGCATGCGGTTTGATGCCAATTGCGAGGAGATACTCCGCCATCCTTCTGCCTAGGCAGCCTTGGGGCGCTGGCACGACGGGTGGTTTTTGCTTATTTTTGTTATCTGCTGCTTTTTTCCCTGCACTTCTTCCGCTATACTGCGAGATACCCGTGCTTTTTCATTTCTGCTTTTAATTGTAATTCTGCATCTTCATTCTGGACACTCACACTGCTGTACTATTAGTTCGACGACGGAGGGATACTGCATCATTGGGCGGGTCACAGGAAAAGTTTTCATTGCGATATCCCCCTCTCATAGTCATCATTTACTTTTTTGCGACGGTGTTCCTCTGTCTGGGCTGGCTTCAGATTTTATTTCTTTGTCATCTTTGCGCTTGGTTGGTTGGGGGGGCAAGGGCAGTGTCTTAGAAATGGGATGGGCTACACCACTCCATCGGTCGGGACCTCGCGGTCAAAACTATTATACCTTATACCACTTTTTATCATTTACCACTTGCCATTTTCTGCGTATAAACACACTCGTGTTTGCCACCCTCGCTTGATGAACTGAAACTGATATTCCGCCCGCCTGCCTATCGGGCTGCTTTTCGTGAGGCTCCCACACTTGCGCCGATCCCCCCTGCGAGTTCCCACATGGCAGGTGAAACAGGCCTGGAGGATTGGCACCTCAGATTGGTCTCAGGCTCAGGCCTCGACATTGGATAACTGCCCCCCGTCGCGGTCCTCCCACCCACCCACACCAAGTGCGTCCTCCTCGTCCTCCTCGTCCTCCCTCCCCCCCTAAGAATACACACAGGAGGCAAGCATGCGCAAGGCCCCCCCCTCCAACCAGCAGCAAACGCCACGGGGCCCATATAGCCCGCGCTGCAATATCCACAGCACCCATCACACAACCCCCAAATCAAGAAAGCAAGCCCTGCTGTTAATGTGTGCGTGAGAGTGAGCCAACGGGCGCTTCCCTCCCCCTCCCCCTCCCCCCCGGCCCACCATTTCCCCATTGGCAGCCGCATCACACATATACACGGCGAAGCGGCTGCGCCTCGGTCAACACATCACATCAGTATCGCGCAGGCGATCCCATCAAGAATGAGCCAGGTGCGCTTCCAGCCTTACGCCGGGCAGATTTACGCGCTGGGGATGCGAGGCGCGGCGCGGCGCGGCACGGCGTGCCATGGCGTGGAAGCCTGCACGGAAAAAGGAAGCAAACGCTGGTCCCCGATCTTTTTCCTCTTGGTCTTGCTTTTTTGGGCGCGGGCGGGCGCGAAAAAAGGAGGGCGGCTGACGAGAGACGAGGGGCGGGAGGGAAGGGATGGGAAAGTGGGTGGGTGGGTTGGTGGTGGTGGTGGTGGTGGGAGGGACGGGAAGGGGAGTGGGACCGCGCGATAGGAGGCGGCCGTTGAGTTGTCTTGCGAGATTATAGTAGGTATGCGAGATGGGGTTGCCAAATGCTTTGATGCAATTTGCCATGCGTGCCCACCCAAACAAAGTGTTATGGATGGATTGCTTTTCGCGTGTGACGACATGGCATCGCCAGATGCAGGCCGACCATTGATATGATTGATTATCGGTTTCTTTTCTCGTCCGACTGTGTAACTATACTATACCGTGCTGTGCTGTGCTGTGAATTACTCGGGTCGATGCAGCGCCATGGCATGGGATCCGAATGGGAGACCGAAGACACACATACATGCTGCAGGAACGTTGTTTCGCTGATCCGATCTGACGCCTGTTTTGGGACATGTGTTGTTAGTGGTGGGTGAGGATGAGATGGCCCGCGTCTTTGGTAACCCGCGGGCTTCAACGCGTCTTACAAACCGCCTGCGTGCGAGCGCCAGACTGCGGACGGGCTCGATGAGCCTTGCATCGCGCAGCTGCAGATGTCCCGGGCGTGCAACGTGGTGAGAAGGCCATGTATGCGGACTCTACCCTATCCTATCCTATCCTATCCTATCCTATCCTCGCTCACGTAGCCCTCGTCATCTTCGAGGCTGGCCCTTTGGAGGACCGCTGGGTTTGGTTGGACGTGCATTTTCCGTCCCGGGCTCGCGATATTACGAGGCGTTGCATGCGTGGGAAGGAGACCCAATGGACGCCGTGCAAAGGGCGGCTTGGCGGGAGATTCTGTACACACGACGACACCCCCTTACATGGTGGTGGGATGGGAGCAGGCAGCAGTCATACGCAGCCGCATGCATGTGAAGACTGTTCCTGCTTTGCCCGTGCCCCGAGGGGAGATATCGCCGCCGCTGGAACCAACGGACGGAAAGCGAGGTTGGCCTTGGGTGTTTGGTGCGTCGCACAGTGTTGCGGTTGCACGACGGGCGGTGTCGTGCGAACCCTGTGCCAATCAAGAGCCTCTTCCAATTTCTCCCAATCGACTTGGTGTGTGCTGAACGGAAAGAGAGGGTGTGAACGTTTGTATGCCGCGGACGAGGCTGGCATGTCGTCCTCCGGAATGGAGGGCTGGTCTGACAATTGGAGACACTCCTCCGACTCCCGCTTCCAAGCAGAGCAAAGCAGAGCAAAGCAAGCCAGCCAAAAGCAACACAAAGCATTGCCGTACCACGGCCCACCACAGTCGCACCGCGCAGATGATCATGAGTGACATTTCGATGCCCATTCCGTCGCGGCGAAGATGCGCGGTGCTGGGTCCATTCCGTACCACCCGTCGCCCCATTCAACCTTTCAACCTTTTCGCGCCTGAATCCACCACCAGTCCACTATAGTAAACACTTGTCCCCAGCGGCGCGGAGCGCGACGGATGGCACCCACCGCCTTCGCAGGGATGCATGTGCAGCGCTAGCCCTCCCCAAAGCGTCGCTCCCACGCGATGTCTCTGGCGTCCCGGCGGTTCGCAAGTCCTGACGAGCCGTTCGCATGTCATGCGCGGGCGCACCAATCGAGCCCGGCCAGCGTTTCGAAACGGCCATAGCAGGCAAACCCCATGGCTGCCATGACGGAGTGCGTCCAGGGCGCCGCCCAACCAACATCCCAACCACCCCGCCGTGAAGCCAGAGCCCGCTTTTACCCCGCTGCGTCGCCCTCCGCCGTCCTCAACATCAGGCTTTCTGGACCTTGGGGCCCTTGGACGGGAATGCGGAGGCTGGGACGAGGTCACAAGAGCGTCCTCATTCCGTCTCCGCATTCCCAGCCCCCTCGATCCGACCCATCCTCGTCTTCGATGGCACGGCAGCGACATTCTTCGGTCCTGGCCGGCGACAGGATTGCAGAATGGGCGTCCAATCCGGGGCGCCGCCCTACGGGTTGCAGAAGCGGTCACCAGGACAGTTGATTCACACTGCAGGCGCGCATTCATGCGGCTGTCGTTGCTTTTGCGAGGGGCGTGGGAGGAAGAGGGCTGTAAGCGCCGTGGCCTGTCGCGACGACGACGGCGATAGGCTTGCAGATTGGCGATGGAGGGCTGCAGAGCGAGAATGCAATCGGTGAATCGGTCAGAGCATTGAGCACTGCTGCATCCACAGCACGTCGTCACACCTACCCCAATACCACACATCCCTCCCACCAAAGCACGTCGCGACTCAGCACTCGGCCCAGGCAAGGCCCACCGAAACCTTACGCAGAGTTTGCACCTCAGTCTGCAACTTATCAAAGTCCACATATACTACGTAGTACAGCCGGTGTTTTGGCTGATACACGGCCCGCATATTCTGCTACAGATCCGGTCCGATGCTCTGCACCTCGTCCCGAACCGGAAACTACAGAGGTACAGTGAGCAGAACCGCAGAGCGGGGTTGTCATCCACGTGCGGCTGCTGTCAGTCGATAAGCGCCGGGTCCTCCACCATGATGTCGCTGAAGGAATCCCGAGATGGGCTCAGCTCGTCGATAACGGTGAACTGCAGTATGTGGTAGAAAGGCCAACGTGCGGCAAAGTGCATCGCACGCCCATCCCTCCCAGTCCATTCCTTATTTTAACATGGCCCTTTTATGCCGTACCATGGTACTTTCCGTACAAGCTGCAACTCCAAATCCGCAGCTAAGCTCACATACATGCATGCTGCTCTATGCGGAGCGAGGCTCTCCTAGCCACAGCAGGTAGCAGTGTGGTTGCACGACATACAGCTGAGAAGAGCACATCCGCATCTGGCGTAGCGGGCGGGAACGTCGCCGTTTCGGTGGCCCACGCTATGGTATTTTTATCGATGGAGCGAGGGGTGGTTTATTGGTTCTAAATGCGAAGCCGTTTTGAATATCGAGGTGGGTTCGGAGATGGTCAGTGCAAGAGGATCGATCTGGGGGGTTGGCTTTGGGATCCAAAGCGCGTGATACTTCCTTTGTGGCTTGAGATCGCTAAAGAGAGGGGTATCTACTGTGCATGCTCGCGTACTGGGTGGACAGAGCACCGACATGCAAGGTCACGCTTACAGTATCTGTCGCGTATGGATTGTGGAGAGGGACGAAGAGCTGGCGATCAAACCTCGTACCACGCAACACCACTGCTGTCCGACGACGAGCCACCGGACTCCCCGTGACAGGACGTCCATGTCCACATCGCAGGCGAACATCCCAAACAATGGATACCTCGACGCCAATGTCCGTGTTCGGAGGCCGCATGCTCGACCTGACATTAATCACCCTCGATATCAGTACTATCTACTACTACCACTACTACATCAGCATCTACCAGCCCCAAACCCAGCTCATCCCACCCCACCCCTCCGTGTAAGACTAATCTCACGCACAATTGGAATCCGCCCAGTAGCCCCCTCCGCCCCCGTCCCGAGAACCAAGCTGCCTATATTACACAGCGTCAAGTGCGGCGTAGCATGGCGTGCCACCCCCTCCCTCCCCCCTCGCCTTTTGGGTAGGATGACCGCAGAGATTTATAGTACACAGCGGCCCAATGAGTGCTTTTTGTTTCAAGCTGAGCATTCTCGAGCGGGGCGCACGTGGGGCGTTGGGCGGGATGCGAGCTGTTGAGGCTGATTCGGCAGTTGTTTCGTGCGTGCGTGAGATGGAGGGGAGGCGGGCGTTGGATTTGGGGGCCATGGCGCTTGGAGACGGAAGGGGAGAACGGGTTGCTTTGGAGGGTCTGGTTGGTCTGTAGTTTGAACGGTTGCCAATTGCTGGCCGGCGAAGATCAATTCCTCAAGTTAGTCGGTGCTCAATCGTTTCTATACCTATACCTATACCTGAGTTCGATCGTGAGGTCTATCTATCTATCTATATGAACCAAACCAAAAAAAAATTACAGCATTTCTGCCAATTCCTGCGACTCGAAATTTGCAAAAAAAGGCAGATTGCAAATGACCCATAGCTGATTCGAACAGCTAACCTTCAGGATATCCACGAACTGGAATCTGACGCGCTACCATTGCGCCAATGGGCCCGGATTCAGTCTCTTGCTGAATTATGGATTTTCTGGACGTTGGAAAGTATATATACGCAATGAATCGGGGAAATAGGCATCGTCTGAGAGGATTGATTGTGGGGGGGGGGGGGAGCGTTCGTGCGGGCCCCGCAGTGAGTCAGTCGGCCGGGGAGAATTTTCACGGAGATACTTCCCACCAATCGACTAGCTTCTTGAACCTCGAACTCTTGGTTTTGGATTGCTCAACCACCACCACCACACCACGCCACACCACACTACGCTGGGTTCTCGGATCTGGCGATGGGGGTTTGGGCTTCTTTGTTATGGCTAGCTGATGCATGGGTTTATTGCGTGGCTTGACTAGAGAGGGTTTTGGGTAGGGTGTTGGGGGGCTTACGTCTGGATGGCGTATAATGTCAGTTGTGAGGCTGCTGGACGTGGGAATGCGAGGCTCGGATGTGGGTTATGCAGAGTTGGTTGTGCGCGCGACACACCAAACGCCTCCTTATGGGAATGAGGCTGCGGATATTCGTCCAGCCGGTTCGCTATTGTGAGAAGGGGCTGCGTTTTGTTGTGGAATATCCCGTGGGCGAGGTTAGTTGATAACGGTCGAGTTGGTGCTGCAAAACACTGCTGTAGTTGCCAGAGACAGCTTTGGTATCCTGGGACGAGGTGGCTTGATTATTTCTCAGGCAATGCTGCTTTGTATGGCTATCTAATCCCCAGCGAAGCATTGGCGGGGACTCTGCAGGCGTCGACAACTTTCACGCAATAACTTGACTATGATGTAGGAAGTTGACTATGACTACTATTAGTCGCTTGAATCTTTCTAGAATGGCATCCAGTGCATGTTCCCACAAGGTTTGCCCAAGCACTCGTTTTGCTGCGTCAAGCTCATCCTCAAGCATGTTATCGACATTAAGGGCGCAGCTAGAGGCTTTCGAGGATGTCATTCTAGAAGGTGGAACAGCATGTGGCCATACCAACATGTTCCTCTGATATCATCCTGTCTTAGTCGAGATTGGCGCAATGAGTTAGAACCCCTACAAGTATTGCTTTAGAGTTGAGGGCGCTTTTGATCAACAGAAATCCAGTAAATAATGTGTGTAGAAAGGTAGATGTTGCGAGGCTGACAGCTGATAGATAGCAAATCGGAGTAGGAAAACTGAATTGATTCTATTAGCAAGGGTCTAGCTCCGGTATATATGGCGACAAAACAATAAGTAAGATATGACAAGAATTCGAGAAAGCTGGCTTTTAATTAGGGATATGGATCCCTGCAGGAACTACAGCCATATGCGAAGAATATGGGCTGGATCGTCATAGTAAACCATGGACTGGTGGTTTTCAATATCGCATTGGGTTCAGTCTATGTGCTAAAACAGCATTCATCAGTTCCGGCATTCGAAAAGTAGAAGCTTGCCTGAACAATCTTTTCAGTGTTGGCCCAGTATTATGCGTTAAACAGACGATGTAAAAGTGTACGCTAAGTATTTCCCACGATTCTAACCCTGTAAGTCCTCCACGAGGTGTAAAAACAGTAGTTTCTGTTGAATAGGCATAATACTATCGCTAGGGTGCTTTGAGATTGCTTAAATCAATCATTACAGTGTCCGTGTTTAGGTTCAAGGGGAGGTTGTCTATAGAGCTAAGAAAGGGGAGGTATTTCTCTCGTTGGTGGAGATTTGCGGCATATTGACAGGGACAGTTGGGCTGAACAAGACGCACGTCATCGTGGGATCAGCTTAGCTTCAAACCTGTTCTCATAAGCGATTCCTTAATAGCTGCATTCTCCTAGGCAAAGACTTCATACCGCACATCACCAAACATGCCCATCCTATACACTGTAAGCTGGAAGAGACCTATGTAGCACGAACAATATTGCGTATCACCTATTTGTCTCACCACCAATCATTGTGTTGAGCGTGTTGGGCGTAGGCAAGCAGGCGTGAAACGCTTGTTGATTACCAGTCATTTAGCAACCACAGGAGCCATTTCGTGGAAGCCAAGTTCATCCTATGGATGCACAGTGTGCGATGTGGACCGTTACATAGAGTAATATGCTAGAAGTGGGACGAGGACTGTGTTCTTGATTCGCCCAAAGGCTTCTCAAGCCGTACAACGAAGATGGAGGTTGATTCGTGAGCATGTTTACCGTAGCAATGGACCACGTAGCATGGACACCGCAAGAAGGGAAGGACGGTATTCAAGATACTACCTATGAGCAGGGCATGGTGCACCTGATTGATGTAGTGAAACAGAGCGCTGAGGTGGGTTCCATTTCTCCCCTATCCTCTAGTTTGTGCTCCAGGAGCTGTGCACCCCTTTGACGCCCAACTCTCTGTGCATGACAGTCCACGCTCCACACCCCTCACCCCTAGCCTCCACAAACAGCCCAGCAAAATCACTTCGATTCAAGCTACCAGAACAGAAAGTCTTCCCATCTCTCAGTATGAGTTTCGGTTTGGGCATCGGTGACTTGGCCACCGCTCTCAAGATAGCAAATGAGCTCCGAAAACGATTCGTTGACGCACCTTCGCAGTACAGCAACATTACAAAAGACGTGGAATATTTATCCATGACAATGCAATACATCAAAGATACACTGCCGCATCGGGACATATCGGATCAACGAAAACAAGAGCTGGAAGCAATAAGTCGAGGATGTGTGGATGTACTTAAAGAGTTGGCTGTGGTGTTGAAGGAATCCGAGGATATCATCAAGAAATGCATGGTTTGGAAACGACTCCGATGGAATGAGGCCGATATTGACGCATTTCGAAAACGTCTCACCTTGATTGTGACTGGATTCAATATGTTCCTCCAGACTATCACCAAGTACTACTCCCCTCTCAACTGTTTACACCAAGACATGAATCTTCAGAAAAGTTGCAGCTGACTTTTCTATAGTGAGAAGATATTTGAGATCAAGTCCACAGTAGACGATCTCACCAAGCACGAAGATGAGCGAAACTGCCGAGAGGAACGTCGAGAAGACCAAGGAAAGCGGCAGTCCCTGCTATATTGGCTCTCTCAGATCGACCATAGATACCAACAAAACGATGTGCTATTGAAACGACAAGAAGGGACTGGACTCTGGTTGCTGGGGTCTGAAGATTTTCCAGGAGTGGCTTGGTCAACCAGGAAAGACAATGTTGTGTTCAGGATTCCCGGGAGCCGGCAAGACCATCATCGCGGCTACCGTGATTGACCATCTGCGTGAACAGTTCGGGACCGATGGTGGTGTTGGTATCGCCTACGTATACTTCAGTTATCAACCGAAACAAGAGCAACAAATTGGGGATGTAATCGGGAGTCTCGTGAAGCAGCTGGTCCAAACGTTGGAAACAGTACCCGCTGATATCCATAGCTTGTACAGCCGGCTCGAGCAAGGGAAAAGACGGCCATCCACGACCGACCTTTTAAATGCGCTGCAATGTATCATTCAAATCAGCTCTAGGGTGTTCATCGTTCTGGACGCTCTCGACGAATATCATGCATCAACACCAGCAGGTGTCAACAGTCTTTTGGCCAGTCTCTTTGACCTTCATACGAAAAGGAGATTTAACCTGTTGGCAACATCACGGCCAATTACAGCAATCACTTCGAAATTCGAAGGGTGTATGTCGAAAGATATCAGGGCCAATGAGGACGACGTTCGATCTTATGTCAATTCCAGAATGCCTGAGCTTCTTCAATCCAGGATACACAAGTACCCTGACCTCCAGAAGTAAGTTATGGACCAGGTTCTCCAAGCTACCGACGGAATGTAAGTGCAAAACCAGTCATGCGGTTATTAGCTCGTTAAGATCGAAAATTGATACGTGCTACAGGTTCTTGTTAGCACGACTTCATATGGACTCTCTCCAAGGCGAACCGACCAAATATGACCTCAAAAAGGCCCTGGCACGTTTATCTGAAGGAATCGACGAAGAGTATGACAAAGCTATGAAGAGAATCAACGCTCAGAAGGAAGGCGTTCGAAAGCTCGCGACTAAAATTCTTGTTTGGGTGATTTACTCAAAGGTAGCACTCTCAACCAGTGACTGGAGTTGACCGAAGCCGTTGCAATAGAATATGGTACCCCAGAAATGGATGTGGATCGGCGCCCTGAGATCGAAACTCTTGATTCTCTATGTGCTGGATTGATCACCGTTGAAAAGAACAATCACATCGTTCGGCTGGTTCATCACACAACCGAAGAGTATTTCAAGAAGAAAGCCATCTTCCCAAGTGCAAATGCTGACATCACAAAAGTCTGTGTCACATATATCTCATTCGAAGTATTTTCGACGGATCAAATCAAAGACTTTGTTTCCGATGACATAATAAAGAAATATCCGCTACTTGCTTATGCAATAACGAATTGGGCTTATCATGCAAGAGGAGGACTGACGATATACCCGAAGTGTCTCAGAACATCAACGAATGTACCTGTCGCATATCCAGTTGTCTCATATCCAGTACTCGATCATTTCATGCGATCTCCGGTTTTCAGTCGAATCCTAGAAGCATATCTGCCAGACTTCCCCCGCCTTTGCAAAGCGATACGAATTCTGGATGAGGACAACAAGGCTTACAGTTTACGAGATTCTGCAGGAAATTCTCCATTAATACATGTGACGAATATGGAGATTCGGATTGTTCCGAGCTGCTCCATTGCGGACTCACTGACACTAGCCACATTGATTAGGGATCATGGAGAAGAACTTGAAGACCCCCGCCAATATTATCCAATTCACCCGCAGATGGCTTACGAATTAAGTCAATTCAATTTATGTTTAACAGCGTGGTGTGATATAGTCGGAGTATTCAGCATGCTGTTGAAAGGTTATCGAGCCAACCCTAACAGACGAGACGAACGCAGAAGGACACCCATGATCGTGGCAGCGAGTGAAGGACACCTTGAAATAGTCAAGCTTCTCTTAGAAGACGGTCGAATTGATCCAGACACAAAGGATTCAACCGGTATGAACTCCGTGATGGCGGCAGCACAGCGGAATCATGTTGAAGTGGTA